ATAATAAAATAAAAGATGCAAGACTAAGATCTCCTGCCTGTAAAGTTTTGGAGGGAAGAGAAGGCAGAAATAATCAGCTTATTTCACTAGGTACAGATAGGTGTTGCCAATGTTAAATACATCAGCTTCAAATAGAAACCATTCCAATTATCTTACTTTTCTTAATGAATCCGGTGCACTGAAGATTGCATTTAACGAAAACATTTTAATTAAATTCCAGTTCCCATCCATGTGTAGCTTTATGCCGATCATTTAATACATTTTGAGGAATTATTAAATATAGAATGTCTGCCATTATTTTCAAAATAAAAAGTAAAAATGCTGGTGGAGTTTGTTGTTGAATGCATATGACTTGTAACCTTGGCTAAAGGAAAATTTTACCAAACTTAAAGGAAAAGCTAAATTTTAAATTGCAAACTTGCACGTTTTAATGATTGCTGACAAATGAGAAGCTAAAACCTATAATTGCAAAAGAAACCCAGGTTAAAATATTTAATTTCAGTTTTCCCAAATGTTCCAGCAAACTGTTAATAAAACCTGCAGTTAAAATAGTCCTGATTAAGGCAAATTCCTACTGGCTGCATCCTTGGAGCTGAGACCCAGCAGCACATTCTTTCACTTGCATGCTTGAAAAGAAAACAAAATCATAATTTTTTTTTTAGTCTTTTCCTTTTATGTTTTGGGGATGCCATGGGAAAATATTTATCACAAAGGACTGTGTGACCTCTCCTTTGCTGACTCTTTCTGTCTCTTCTGAGTGTAGTTTTAAGTGATGGTCAGGAAGATTTTCCCACTTTTCCCATGGCTTCAACTATTTTTTTTTCCCATGAGCTGACTCCTGAGTGCTGGGGCTGTTCTTTCCCATACTGGGCCCAAAGACTGGGGAAACGAGCTGGATTTGGGGGAGCAGCTCTCTACCCTCCCTGCTCCCCAGAATCATTGGGGTAAAGCTCTCCTAAGATGTTGCTTTTCCACGAGGCTGGTCGAGGATTCAGCTTTTGGTGTCTGTGCCATGTTTTGTAGCACCTCAACTCAATTTGAAAAATGTGTTTAAAGACAGAATCATGAGTAGAAGTTGAGTGAGGATAATTCTCTGTTGCTCTCTGATGTGCTGTCAAAAGGAAAGACAGTGTTAAGCAACTGGGAGGTATTTCCAGGAAAAAACCCAAATGTTTCCTGGCACACCTGGGAAGCCTCCAGGCAGGGTGGCTGAGCCAAAAAGCTCTGTGATTCCTTCTTGTCCAGCGAGGCTTCACTGCAGGAAATATTTACATGGTCAGTTCCAGGCCTGGTGTTTGATTTTGGTGAGACAAGTGACTATGTGCCATGAAAAGCTCCTTAACTTCCACACAACAAGTGGCCTCTTTGTGTTCTCCACATTGGTCACTGGGTTGCTGAGCTCTTGCTGGAGTTATGGGAGGTCTCCTTTAGCTCTTGCATTTCCCTTCTTCCACAAAATACCACAGGAATTCTCTCTGTGCCTGTAATTAAGGCAGCCATTATCTTCTGGCTCCCTAATGCCCTGCTTCCTTATGTAACATGTCACCAGCATCTTCAGCTGTAGATTGCACTGCCCTCCTTTGCAATTTTTTATTGTGCTTTTTGGAGAATCACAGAATCTCGGATTGGTTTGGGTTGGAAAGGACCTTCAAGCTCATCCCACTCCAACCCCCTGCCATGGGCAGGGACACTTTCCACTAGACCACATTGCTCCAAGGCCCATCCAGCCTGGCCTGGAACACTGCCAGGGATGGGGGAAAAAAATTCTTGGCTTTATGCTTCTTGACCTCAGTTTCAAAGCTCTGCCCCATCCCTTTGCTTTTTCAGTTTTCCCCATCTCTGTTTTACTCTCGTTTTTGTGCCTTTTCTGGAGAGTTCTTTCATCTCACTCTGCTTTGCATCACTGAACACCCATCAGTGTCTTTTCCACCTTGAGGTTAGCCTTTGCTCCAGAGTGGTGTAGGTGGCTGAGCTGTCCATGCCTGAGGTTTTTTCACAGAATCACAGAATCTGGGTTGGAAGAGACCTCCAAGATCATCCAGTCCAACCCATGCCCTAACACTCAACTAACCCATGGCACCAAGTGCCACATCCAATCTTTTTTTAAACACATCCAGGGATGGTGACTCCACCACCTCCCCAGGCAAATGATTCCAATACTTGATTATTCTTTCCATGAAATTTTTGTCACCTCCTTGGACAGTGTGTGTATTTGAGGTCATCTTGGCTTTTAGGCAGGAGAGATGTGTCACAATCACTCTGTGCTGGAGAATTCCAAGAGGCTGCAGAGGAGCATGGAGACCCTCATGCTGATCAAAATGAGCTGTAAAACCATGTTACCCCAGCTGCAGGGCAGGATTGATTTAATTTGCTCCAAAATCATGCTGACAATCACATGGGATTAATTTCTACTTGTCCTGCTGGTGCTGCTTTGCACTGTAGATTGTTGCATTTCTTCTGCCAGCTGCTCTTCATCCTCCTCTGGACATACCTGCTCTGATTGCTTCCACTTTTGAGAGTTTTCCTCTGAACCAGCAAACTCACAAATCCATCAGTGCTGGTAACAGAACCTGCAGAAAAACCCTTGGTCTCCAACTTGCACTTCCCAAAGCTGTTTTATTGATGTTCTTCAAGAATGCAACACGTTCCCGTTTGGTTTTTGACATCTGTTCCACTTAGAGGAGCTCAGTGCTGCATGCCTGGCTGTCCTCCTCACAAAGGAGGTGAGCCAGAAGCTCAGCAGCTTGGCTGCCTGGGAAAAGTTGTTCAGCCTGGAGAAGATTCCAGGGAGACCTTAGAACCCCATTCAAAACTTAAAAGAGCCCCAAGAGGGATGAGGAGAGACAAGGACAAGGGCATGGAGGGACAGGACAAGGGGGAATGGCTTCCCACTGCCAGAGGGCAGGGATGGATGGGATATTGGAAGGAATTCTTGGCTGAGAGGGTGAGTAGGGTCTGGCACAGGGTGCCCAGAGCAGCTGTGGCTGCCCCTGGATCCCTGGCAGTGTCCAAGGCCAGGTTGGACAGGGCTTGGAGCAGCCTGGGACAGTGGAAGGTGTCCCTGCCCATGGCAGGGGGTGGAACTGGGTGATCTTTGAGTTCCCTTCCAAGCCAAACCGTTCTGTGATTGTTTTTATGATTCTGTGCACACACAGGTCTGTGGGCTGGGCTTAGTTTGGGCTCCTGACCCTGCTCTGGTTGGTGAGCAGAGGTGTCCTCTGTGCCACAGAGCTGGGATAAGTCTTTAAGCTTTAGGTTGAGTGGCTTTTGCTTAAGCCTTATTTCAGAAAACTCGACTCACAGGTTTGAGTTTTATCAAGAGGACAGGATTTCTTTCATCTCATTTGAACTCTCATGATATGTTTGAGTCTTTCCTCGGAAAGACAAGGAGAATTGGTGAACGACTGGGATGTTTGCCTAAAATGCTGCTTTTCTGAAGAAGATTTTTGGAAAAGTTGTCTCACCTTTTTTTATCTTATTTCCCTGCAAGAATGTCAAAGGGATTTATGAAGTTGTTTCTTTATGACTAAAAGTTTGAACTGTTTAAATGGTTTAGTCAAAACAGGAACGTTATGAAGTGGATTTGTTTATTGGGGATCTGTTAGTTTTTAATTACACATAGTCCTGCTGTCCTTTCCTGGTATTTTTCTTCAGTTTTTTTTCCCAATTCTGTTATTTTTTAAGACTTCTTCCCACAGTCTTGCTGTTGAACTCACAGTGTCACCTTGAGCTTGACTTGGAACCCCTGAGAATTGTTTCCTTTTTTCCCGATGTTATCTCCATACTTCTCACCCTTTGGCTACATCCTGCAGATCTCAAAATGCTTCACAAAGGAGATAAAAATCATTAGTCTCATTTTCCAGATGCCTTCAGATACTCTGGCAAACAAAGAGAGGAGTCCTTGTAGAGGACTCATCTCACGTGGAAATCACACATGTAGCTCAATGAAGAGGTGGGGTAGCTTGTAGTTATTTTGGTTTAAACCTGCTAGAATTGTTAGGATTCAATGGAAGTGTCCATGTCTGGGGTGGAATTAGAAAAATACCCAATTTGTGGTGGAGACTAGCTGAGTCTTACAGTGGAATGGTGAATTTCTTGAGTGTAGCTTTGACCACAGCCACAGCTATTTGTGTTTTTGGATAAAGCTTGATTGTGGTGCCCTACCCTGCATCTTTTCAGGGTGACTCCCTAAAGGGGAGAGCTTCCAGACAGGCACAGCCAGAGCTGCTCCCAGTGAGACTGGCTGGGAAGAGCCACTGTGATGGAATGGGTTTCCTGAATTCCACCTGGTGGGCTCTCTGTGCTGAGCTGGGCAGGCATCTCCATGGGGAATGTGTGCCATAATCCCATCTGGGAGTCACAGGGATGGCCAGCTTTGAGCTGGGCAGGCATCTCCATGGGGAATGTGTGCCATAATCCCATCTGGGAGTCACAGGGATGGCCAGCTTTGAGCTCACAGCCATCCCAGCTGTGGGTGCTTCACCCTCTCCCTCCCTCTTGCTGGAGCTGGCACCCATTTCCCGCACTCCTGACCTGTCCCTGCTGGGACTGTGGGTGCTGCAAGCCCCAAACACCCCCTAGGAAAGCCCTGCCAATGCTGTCCATCCTCAATGGCTCTAATCCACTCTTAATTCAGCTCCTGGATGAATTAAGGCTGTACCCTCGCTGGCATCTCCTCCAGAGTATCCCATTAAAGCCATGACTCCCTTCACTCATCAGGATTCCTGAACCAAATCCAATCCTGGAAGTTTTCATGGCAAGAAGAAGCAGGTTCTTTGGTGTTGGGTGGCTGGCAGAGCCTCTGCTCTTCCCAGTGGCAATCCTTAGCAGAGAAATTATTAGGGAGATCTTAACCATATAATGTTTTGGCAGGGTGCTGGGTGACACTCATTGCTGCTGCTACAGTATGTTTAAAAAAAAAAAATTAAAAAAAAGAAGGACAATAAAGTAGGCTTTTTTTTTTGTTGGAAAAGAAGATTTCATGTTATCTGTATTTGCAGGCTTTCTGGCTCATATGCTGGAGGAATCCTTGCTGCGGGGGTGTTTTCATTTTCTCGTCTAACATGGCAGTGGTCCATCACAGCAGAGGTTTTCAGCTTAAACAATCTGTTTGTGGGGCTGCTGATGGCTCTCACTGCTCGTTTTGAGGAGGCATCCACTGCAAAAGAGAGATCAAAGGTAAAACATCTCAAGCAAAGTGTATAGTTCTTTATTTTTTTCGTAATTGGTTATATCGGCTGTTTGTTTAATTTTCCATTAATTTACTGCTGATTTTGTTTTGTTTAAATAAAAAGGACACATTTTGAGTCTTGGTTCAGCACTAGTGCTGGGTAGGGTCCATCTCTGACCTACCTGGATGTTCAAAAGTGACAAACATTGAAAAAACCCTGCCCACTTTGCTTAAGGATTGAGTTGGGACCTGTTGGATGAGTTTGGGATTGATTGATTTAATATCCACAGGGTGGAGGGAAAAAAACCAAAATCATTTCAATCTAAACATTTTAGTTCATCCTGCATCAAAGACACAAGCTAGGCTGTGGGTGTTCAAGGTTTTGTTTTAAGGACTGGCAATTTTCTTCGGGATAAATGGATGTATTTTACAGAAAACTTCATCTAATCAGAAACCAGGTTTCAACTAAAAAACGGGAACAAGCAAATTTTCAGTCAGTTTTTCTTTTGAAATTAAATGTGCCCCTAAAATAATGGCATTGTTAAACACAGAGACTTTAAATTTCATGCTATATTTTCTACTTTATGAACAGACTAGGCAGCCAAATGATATTTTTGCTCAGCAGTCTTGTTCTTTCTAGTTTTGTTTGCCTGAACATCTGATCTCTTTTCCTCCGACAGACTTGCCTGCTGTGACTCCTATAAATTGTGTGAATAAAGGGATTTTTGTCAGGCTAGGCTAGAATTTCAGGAGTCTGCAGTGGTACTTTACTCAGCTTCGTGAGTTCTCAAATAACATGTTTTATCAATGGCTACAGAGACCTTGTTTCACCGTTGGATTTTTTTTTAAATTATTATTATTTTCTAATGAGCAGTGTCCCAAGATCCCCACAACCTGAACTCCACAGACATGGAGCTGGGCATTTTCCAACCTTCTCCCATATTTCACATGCCCGGTTTCCAATGGGATTTTCAAAATTAGATTTTCAGAAGCAGTTAAGGAGCTTGTTCCAATGGTTTTTTGAGTGTCTGGCATCCCACGCCTGGAAGAAGCCAGGCTGCCAACAGCAAGCTTGCAGTGATTTTCATAAATCAGATGGTCATACAGACATCATATTGAAGTTCATTAATGTACTTAAAAAATTACTGAGGTGGTTCTGAGCCCTGCCAGGCAGCTCTCATAAAGGGTTTTTTTTTTTGAGCTTACAGCAAAGCAAGGTGTTTCCATGGCAAGGCAGTGTCCAGCATGGAATCCTGAGCAGTTAATTAAAAATTACAAGGCCATCCCATCACTACATCAAGGCAAGTGTTTGCATCTCACACACCACCCTCACCAGTGACTGGAACAAGCAGGGGAGGTTTAGGTTGGATATCAGGAAAAGGTTTTTCCCCCACAGAGTGATTGGGCACTGGAACAGGCTTGAGCTTTTAGATAATGAGTCGTATCACCTTTAATTCCCCTGGCTTAGGAAGTTTATACAGCCCTGACTTTAGCCCTGTGTGCCTAATGAAGTGGAGAAAAATAATTCCTGTTACAAAAAAAGTGAGATTTCTGTAGATAATGGCTTTATTTCAGGACATTTCTGAAAAGCCATTCAGAGTGAACTGGTGGGCAGCCTCCCCTGTGCAGCTGGGCTCAGGAATTTGACTCATCACACTGTTAGGATGTGATGATGCTGCACAGGATCTCTGTGTGCCTGGAGGCATGGCTGTTCAGCTGGACACTTCTTAAAGAATGTTTTCTGTTAAAGAGTTGAAATCTCTCTGTAACTAATAAAAAAGTCCCCTGAGTTCTCTGTTACAACTGACCAGTCCTCGCTGGTGTATTTGCCTTTTTCCTGTAAGGATGCTGTGCTGAATCTTTTTGATCTTGGATGGTTTTTTTTGCAAACTTGTAAATAGTAATTGTGACTTTTTAATTTTTTTTTCCCCTTTCAGATCTCTAAATTGGGTGCCTTTTGCTGTGGGCTCAGTCTGTGCAATCAGCACACCATAGTGCTTTATGTTGCTTGTGTTGTGCCCTGGGTTCTCTCACGGCTTTTCAGGAAGAGGGTACGTATTTACTGACCCACACCTCTGTTTTCCTAAGGCTGGGATTAATTCTTCTCCCCCAGAACTTGTGCCACTTCTCAATTGATGCTTGTGATTAATCATAACCCACTGAAGTCACAGTCTGACACCACAGCCACTGATCTCAAGGGGTCTGATTTAAAGAGGGTCTGCAAGAAAGCTTTTGACAAGGACATGGAGTGATAGGATGAGGGGACTGGCTATAAACTGATAGAGGGCAGGGTTAGATTTAAATATTGGAAGAAATTCTTCCCTGTGAGGGTGGGGAGGCCCTGGCACAGGGTGCCCAGAGAAGCTGTGGCTGCCCCTGGATCCCTGGAAGTGCCCAAGGCCAGGCTGGACAGGGTTGGAGCAGCCTGGGACAGTGGAAGGCAGGGAGTTGAAACAACATGATCTCTAAGTTCTCTTCCCAACCATTCCCAACCCAAACCATTTTGGGATTCTGTGATCATAGTTTAGGTCCTTTGCTCATGCTGGTGATCTGTGACTCCCTTGTGTCCCCTGGCACAGGATTGCTCTGCCCCAGCTGCTTGCAGATACTCTGTGAGCTAAAATAATACTTGGAGCTAAAAACTCAGACTTTCCCATGCCATCAGCTCACTTGGAGACGAGTTTGTGTGTGTTGGCTCCCTGGTGGTAACCAGCAAAAGCCACATCCACCCCGTGTGCTTCTCAGTAGTGGCACAGGGTATAACTAAGCCTGGGTGGAGCTGCAAGAAATGTGATGGCACTCAGACAAGCTTGATCCAAAATCTCTTCAGCATCCCCAGCAACCCCCTTTTCTGGCCACATATATTTCCATTAACACAATCAAGAATCACTTCTGCAATATATTTATGTTCTTTAAACAGATTTTTATTTGTTTGGTTTTTTTTGAGCAGGAGGTCCAGAGAGACCTCTGTGATTTCCAGCAAGGGCAATGCTGTGCCAATATAATAATCCTGGGAAATACTTTGGACAGCCCAGTAGTGCCTGCTGCAGGAAACCACTGAAAGGATGGCTAATGGATGGAAAACTGCCTTTTTAAAGTACAAACGAGCCACCTTTCTTCTGAAGGAGCTCTGACCACCACCATTATCAAGCTGCTTTCTCTGCTCCACAGATCATCACTCCCAGTAACCCCAAATGCTGAGGAAGTGCTTTGATTGACAGGGCAGTGGCTAACGACAAAGCAAGCGTGCAATATTCTAGGGTGGGATTTTCCAAAGCACTTAAAGGAGTTAGGCACAGAGGGCCCTTTGAAAGTCTTGTCTCCCTGACCCCTTAGGCAGTCTCGAAAATCCCACCCCAAAAGTTGGCCTATCCAATTTAGCCAGTAATCACGATCAAGTAAATGGCAAAACTGACTCCTGATGATGGTGATGATGTGTGCAGTTGTACTGGAGCAGCATTTATGTGGGGGTCTTTTTTTTTTTTTTTTTGCCAGATGGAAAACCAGCCAACTCTTAATCGCTGCAAAGTGGGTTATCTCAGCCTTGCAGTGCTCCAGCCATCTATGCATGTCATGCCATGATTTAAATGTGAAAGATGCAATGAGTATGATACTCATGAGTCCTAGCTAATATTATTTGCTTCACTTAAATTTCACCCTGCCATGCAAAGGAGATCAGTTTGATGCAGTTTCCTGGTAATCCACAAAATCGTAAGGTTTAACATAGCATTTTGTAGGGACTTACTATAAATTGAGAGATCAGCTCTGTGTAAATATATTTGATGTTTTTTTCTTTATCTGTTCTTGAAGTTCCAGCGTGATTAAACTAAAATAAACATTGTTATGCAATATGACATATTTTGGTGCAGGAATTGTCCCTAGGCCATTTGCTGAAGTTGGGTTTATGCTTCTTGGCTGGTTTGCTGCCTTATCTCTATCTGCCGGCTTCATCCTACCTCAATCGAGCCCGCTGGACATGGGGAGACCAGACGACTTTTCAAGGGTTTCTGACCCACTTTCTGAGGGAAGAATATGGGACATTCAATCTGGTAAACAAGGGTCGTTTCCTAAATCACTTCCTTTTCACTTATGCAACAGCAGAAATGTTCTGTTTGTGACGATTAAGGGCTTGCGGGGAAGGAAATTGAAAATGTTTCATTTTTTAAGCATTCATTTCTGATTTCGACCTCCTGACCTGTCAGGTTTTCTGGGAATAGGTCACATGGCTGGGAAGGCAAAGAGATAATTCTCATTTATGGGGTGAGCCATATTATTTCCTGGGAGTTTTATGGGTGGCTTATGTGTGTAGGAACTGAAACAGCAAATGGTGCCAGAGAAAGTAGGTGACATCAATTTTGTGGTGTTTTAAAAATGAATGTTGTCTTATTTTTCTATCTTTAACCTGACATTTAAAGAGGTCATAAGCAGTTTTCATTTAAAAGCTATTCCTCCTTAATTTACTAATGTTGAATTTAAGTGAATGGTTGGTTTGAGGGTTCTCAGGTTCCTCTAATCTGAGTTGTTGAGGTCTCTGCTCTTGCCAAGAGAGGGAAGAATCCGTGGTTGCTTTCAGAGTGTAGGGTTTGCATCTGCCTCCTCCAGCCCTGACTTGGATGTTGAGCTCTGGCCTCCCAAGGAAATCACCAGCCCATCACCCCAGAGTCTGTCCTGCTTCACAGATTTCAGGGCATAGAGCTGGGAAATCACACCACTGGGAGGAAAACAAGAAAAAGGTGTGATCTACATGTTCTGTCACTCCTTGGGGTTCTGTAGCCCCACATCCTCAGCAATCAGCCCTCACATGCAGCCAGCCTGACACAGCATCACTGTCACTGTGATTCTGGTGCCATTCCACCCTTCTCAGAGAGCTGTGTGGCTGTAGGATGTGTGGCAAAAGACATGATAATTCCTGCTGCTGCCACTAAATCTGTCCAAAAACTCCTACAGAGATCAGGTCCATCCTCTGAAGGCCTTGTGAGACTTCCCCTGTTGTCCTGTTCCCAGCTGTCTCCTGAGAATCAGCCTCCACTGGGCAGAGCAATACCAAGGCATGCAAATCCCTTAACTCCTCTCTCCATCAAAATGTGATGAATTCAAGTTGATGTTCAGGAGGCTTAGGGATGGACTGCGTGTAATCCTACACCACAAATCACATTTGGGATGAACTTGTCTGAAGCAGGAGCAATAAATACAGCAAAATCCAAGCATTTGGTCCTGATGCCAGTTGGAATAATGCCAGAGCACTGCTGGATGGACAGACAGCTTTTACATCCCATAGCTCTGTTTTAAAGGCAAGCAGGGTGGAAAAAAACAGCCCAAAAAAAAAATTTGGAGGGGGTTCTACCTGTAAGCCATGGATCAGAAATGTCATCTCTGTGATGGATGTGTCCAGGGCCATCAGCTGCCAGCAAGGTGGGACTTTCAGGAGCTGTGAGCTGACTTTCCATCCTCTAACACTTATTTTGAAATCAAATCCTGAATGCAATTAGCTATTGCATTTTAATTGAGATTAAATATTCCTTCCAGACTCCCTGAACTGATTTACCTTATCTTTTATCTGGTAGCCACCACTTTTCCAACAAGCAGCAATGAAGGTAATTCCTCACGTCCACACAGCGTGTCTTTTTCCCAGACATGTGCCATGGATTGCAGGTCTCTGCAATAAAAATTCTCATTATTTCTTGGAGATTTTGTACAGCTCTGCATCTGTCAGGGCAGAGGAGACAGGGGCTAGTCTGGTAAGCAAGGAGGAATTGAGATTGTCTCAGGCTGTGGTGAGATGGCCCAGAAAATAATTGCACCATGAAGATACAGAACATGGCCTCAAGTTGTGGCAAGAGAGGTTTAGATTGGATATTAGGGAAAAAAAATCACAGAAAGAATGGCCTGGAATGGAAATATTCTGCCCAGGGCAGTGGTGGAATCACCATCCCTGGAGGGACTTAGAGGATGTGGCACCTGGGGACGTGGGTTAGTGGTGGGCTGGGCAGTGCTGGGGAATGGTTGGACTCAATCTCAGAGGGCTTTTCCAACCCAAATGATTCCATGATGCAGCAGAGGTCATGGTTAAACCATATGACATGCTCTCATCACAGGATAATGTGTTGTCAGCACCTTGAAATAATGCTTTATCCAGGAGGTAAATCCTTCAGTGGCATCACATAAAACAGGAATGTGGGAGAATATCTTGCAGTGAAGGTTTGAGTAGGGGTTGATGCCTTTCTTGCAAACAAAATGAGAAGACTTTCCTTGCCCCAGTGATACCCAGTCAGTTTGTGGGTTCCTCATGGGTTTCCTTTGTTTTTATTTCAGGCCAAATCCGAGACAGGATCCAGTATGGGAGAGATGTTGCTGTGAGTAACACCTTGGCTGTGCCTTTCAGTGGAGAGTAACCTGGTGGCTCCTGTCCTTCCTTTCCTCATCCTGTCCAGAGCTGGGACAGCATTCCTGCCCTCTGCCTTCCCCACTGAAGGAAAAATGGTGATCCCCCTCCCCAGTGATTTTCTCTTCAAAATCCTGCCATATAACCCACTCTTGTCCCCATTTCTGGTAGACTTAATCCCAGACTGGGAATATCTTCTGCTGTGCTTATTCCCTGTTTCTCCTGACACTTTAATTGAGTGCAAGGGGTGATTTGGGGGTGACACATCCATGCCTTTATTTCTCCAGTTTCCAGCTGGTGCAGATGAAGTCAGAGCTCTCCCTCCCTGTCCTTGCCCTGGCACTCGTGGCCTGTGTGAGCACAGCACTGCCGTAAGTTGAACAATATTTGCTTTAATGTGCATTTTTTGCCCATTTTTCTTACTGCCTGCACAGGAAACTCGCTTTACCTTCTGCTTGCTGCTGCAGAAATTGCAGCAATTGGCTGTGGTCATCTACGATTAAGAACAAAATATCCCTTACTCCTGGTTAACCCCATGGCTTGATAGATGGCAAGCTTAAAACTCATGAAATCCTGATGGGTTTTGTGCCTTGAAAACAGAAACTTCATAAAGGGCAAAGGTAAAGAAAGACTCATCAGCTCCTTGTGTTAAATGCATTTAGATATGCAAGGAGTTCAAGCACATTTTTGCTTCATTTTCATCATGTCTCAGGAGTGATACATTATTTTTTTTGTAGGAAAAAGCAGCAGAAATCACCTGTGATCTGGCTGTTCACTGGAATGCTCTGCCTTTATTCCCTTTTCTTCGCTTGGAGAGCAAATTTGGATATTACAAAGCCTCTGTTTCTAGGCGTGGTAAGTTGCACTGCCAAAGTTGTTCTGGCATGTTAATTTTTGAGAGAAACACTCAAAAACTTTAAAACCACCTGACCAGGTGCAGGCAGTTGTCTTGAAGCTGCAGAAGGTGCCAAAATGCAGCTCCAAGGACAGGGCTTGGAGCAGCCTGATGTAGTTGAAGGTGTGAGATGAGGGGTGGGATGGGGTGATCTTTATGGTCCCTTCCATCCCAGCCCCAGTTTTGGGGTTCTCTCTCCTAGGTGGAGCGGTTCTGGCTGCAGAGCAGTGCTGTGGTGGCTGTGCTGGCAGGGCTGGGGCTGGCCACGCTGGCCAGCCTTGGGAGGAGCACTGTGCTGGAGGGCACCTGGCTGCTGCCATGCCTGGAGTGGCTTCCTGCTCTTGCCCTGGTTGCTTCTCAAATTTGGGCAAATTACAGGTGAGAAGTTCCCGTGGTGCTGCCTCACAGGGTGAGTTGGGTTTCTGTCCTTGGCTGGGATGGGAAAAGCACTTTTCACACCCCACCTAAACTTGCATGGTCACAGCCTGCAGGACTCCCTGGTGTGATCTCCCTCAGAGTCACCAACTCCGGGCTGCAAATGGGGATGTCACAGAGGTCATGGGAAAAAAATCCTGTAGATACATAAACTTCTAAAAAACCCTTGTAAATCTGTGCTTTTTCTCCTAAGGAAGTTTGCAAAATTCATGTGGCCTGAACTTCTCTTGCTTTCCTTCAGGCTACCTTGTGCCTGAAGTTTTTTCTGACTTTTTCCTCATTTTTGAAGAGTTAAATCTTTGGTTTGGGGTTTTCCTATCCCATAACCACATGCAGTTGCTTGGATAGGAATCAGTGTCCTGGTAGGGATGTTCTGGTACAGGCTGACCAAGGAAGTGCAGGTTTCATCCTCAGGAATCCTTTTTTTGGCACACCTTTTCCAAAAGCTTGTCCATAGGTGAGCCAGTCATAGCTCCTGTCCTCGGGTGTCATCTGAATCCATACCTGGAGTATGTGCACATAATTTTAATGAAAATAATCCAGGTGATGTAAATCTACTTCTGCGTGATACTAGAAAAACTTGGCTTTTTCAATCTTAATGGAAATATTAAAAGATGAGGAGGATTTCAAATGCTCTACAGAACCATCATTGTACTGGCACTTCCAGCACCAACTGATAAGTTTTTAGATTTAGCCCAAGAAGAAATCATAATTAAGGTGAAGGTGTGCAGTGAGTGTGTATTTTGGCAGAACTGTAGTGGGTGGTGCTTTCTAAGGGCCTGTGTATTAAATGCTTTGTTTCTGTATCTCATTTTCTCTGGAAATTGATATATTAAATTGTTGTTGTGATTAAGTTGTTGACACTCTCCATCCCTGGAAGTTCAAGGCCAGGTTGGATGGGGTTGGAGCAACCTGGGATAGTGGAAGGTGTCCCTGCAGGAGGGTGGAATGAGTTGTTCTTTAAAGTCCTTTCTTACCTAAACCATTCTGTGCCTCTGTGATATTTTCAGCCTGACCAGGCTGGAGTTCCCCTATGGGTGCCCATTGCATAAAACTGAAGTTCTGCAAAGCCATGCAAATACCTGGTTCTAAAATTCTGTTTTTCATCTGTTCCCTTCAGCACTTGTGATCAGAGCAACAACTACGTTGTTGATAAGTTTGCAAGGAATGTGCTGTCCTCCATGCCAACAGGGGCAGTGATCCTGCTGAGAGGAGACTTGCCTGGGAATGCTCTTCGTTACCTTCATTATTGTGAGGGCATGAGGCCTGATGTCACCTTAGTGGACCAGGAGGTATTTCCAAAAAGTGCTGTTTAGAAGATTTAAACATGGTCAGCAAAAGTTCAGTTGATCTCCTTGAGAGGGTCTCTCTGTTCAGTAAAGCTCATGATGTGGGAATAAACAAAATGGATTTTTTTTTTTTCAAAGATGGGTGGGTAGCCCTGGAACGGAGCGTGGTGTGCACATTCCTTTTTCACTGAGAAATGGGAAAAGTGGAAAAAAAAAAGTTACAGGATGGGTCACCCACACTTCTACTGCCACATCAGCCTCACACCTGGCTTTGCAGCAAGAGTCTGTGACCTGTTGGTAAACTCCAAACCCAATTCCTGGTGTTTAACCAAACCAAATCCCTGTTGTGTGTCTTACCAGCAGTGGCTGTTTTGTGTTGGAGTGAGAACCACATGCCTCTGATGAGAAGGCACTGGTGACCCAGCCTGGTGCTGTAGTGTGACCATGGTGACCCAGTCTGACCATGGTGACCCAGTCTGGTGCTGTGGGGTGACCATGGTGACCCAGTTGACCATGGTGACCCATTCTGGTGCTGTGGTCTCACATCACTGCTGACACAGTTTGTGACTTCCCTGAGCAAATGGTTGCTACTCCTGCAGAAACCATTTCTTCTGCATGTAAATCTTCTGATTGCTGTTTTAATTGTGATAATATCTTGTGGTGCAGATGATGACTTATGAATGGTATCTACCCAAGCTGGCAAAGCATTTACCTGGTGTTCATTTTCCTGGGAACCGGTGGAATCCTGTGGAAGGAGCATTACCCGACGGGACACTCGCCTTTAATCTCCATCGTTTCCTCAAAGTAAATAAACAGTAAGCATTTCTTTCATATGTAACAGCTTTCCTAAAATCTCTGACCTTTTTTTTTTTTTTTTCCTCTTGAAATTGTTTATGGAACAGCTTGGTACTGCATCCAAAAGACCAATTTTCTCCACTGACTTCCTCCCCGGTGGCGAGATTATTTTTGCAATTAAAGCAAAATATCTCTGCAGAAGTAACTCCATCCGGATATAATATTGCCTGTTGTTTTGAGGTTGGTTTGGTTTTTAGGAAGGAGGGAAAAAAAGATGATCTGCAGAGTGTTTACTGATTATTTGTTGTTGTTTTTGTTGATACAATTCATCACAGAGAATAGGAACGTTCCTGTGTACTCAGAACGATGATGGTTGGAGAGCAAATTGCTGCTGCTTCTCCTTTGTGAGCATTGTGGCCAACTGATTAGCATAGAATGAATGTATTCCAGGAATAATCATCATATAAAAATAGCTTAGTAAGAGTGGGGAAAGGATTAGATACTCACACGAATAAGAATAGCATCTGCATTTAGACTAGCTGGGGTGAGCCCTGCGAGGGTGGGGAGGCACAGGAGCACAGCCAGGTGTCTCTGGGGAGAAGTGGGCTTCTCCTACAGCTTCTGGCCCGTTTGGAAGGTCCAGGAGAGGGGACAGGATGTGCCAGCTGTGCTGGCTGCTCAAGATGGGCAATGCCAGATGGGGAATTAATCTGTTTTCCAGATAGCCCCAAAACATGCCCGTGCTGATGGGAGATGTGCTGGATGGGTGTGTTTGCTGCACAGTGTGGTTTGGTTTGCTCAGGGACGCAGGGTGGGCCTGAGGTGGCTTCACCATTGCTCTCTCTGTTGGTTTTTTTGGCAGTAAGGAAGTGTTTGTCTGCATAGGCCTTCATGAAGGGGACTCCACCTGGAGAAGGAGCCACTCGCTCTGGCCCTGGGGTACGTGTGAGAAGTTGGTTCCTTCTGGAGCTGTGTTTGACCCAGGAGAGTGGATTCATCTCACCAGGAATCTCTATAACTGGACTGAGGACTATGGCAGGTAGGAGGCAGAGGAGCCTCTGCTCCTTCCTGCCCATCGTTTTTCTGCCAGCAGCATTGCCACACCCGCTGCAGTGTTAGAGGAATAAAACAAGAGCCATAATCTCAGTGTTTTGTGCTCTGGAGAGAGAGCAGGGAGGAATTCTTCTCTGTCAGGGTGGTGAGAGGCTGGCACAGCCCAGAGAGCTGTGGCTGCCCATTCCCTGGCAGTGTTCCAGGCCAGGTTGGATGGGGTTTGGAGCATTCTGGGATAGTGGAAGGTGTCCCTGCTCATGGCAGGGAGTTGGAATTAGATGATCTTTAAGGTCCTTTCCAACCTAAACCATTCCATGGTCTGTGATTTTTAGTAGTGTGAAAAATAGCAAGAACATCTCTAGTCAAGTGTGAGGTCCAATTCACACCTTAAAACTTGATCAGGATCTAAAGTTATTGAAACATCCAGAGGTTTAAATGTCATAGACTGAGCTGTGGTGGTAAAAAACATCTCTGGCTTTGAGATCTGGGATGCTGTGAAACACCTGATATACCAGAGGCTCCTTCTATGGAGAGAGAGAAACAAAGTTTTTTGAATGACAGAGAATCAGCTGAATTCCTTGCTGTCAGAGCCACAGGCTTCATGAGAGGTTTCCTTCAGCCTGGGAGGTCTGTAGCTGCCTGGGTTGGAAGGGTTGTGGTGGGTGAAACCCAGCGACGTGGATCTGATGGCTGAATTTTGTTTCCATTCCCGTTTAGTTTCAGCCCCTCTTCGTGGGAAGCTGTCGCCAACGAGGAGATGTGGCAAGCCAGGTAATTTTCCTTTGCTCTCTTCCAACAGCCAGTGGGCACTGCCAGCTCAGTGGTGTGGAAACACACACCAAAGCAGGCAGCTTGATGGGCCGTGGCCTTATTGGGTCTGCACGTGCCAAGCTTTAGAAGGAAAAGGCTGGAGGGATGAGATGGAGCGTGCAAGGCCACCAGCAAAGCCTTCAGGAAAGTGGCTGTTCTGTTCACCAAAAGGTTCTGCTCAAAGTCTCTCAAAGGTAGTTGGGATGTAGGGTGAGGAAGTAGATTATGGGGACAAATTTGTATCACGTGGCTTTGCTGTCCCACTTGTGGACATGTTGAAGCTATGTACAATAACCCTGTGATGTGAGCTGGTTGCATTAGGCAGTTTACCAAATGGAAGTTTTTCTTGTTTTCCTAGGATGAAAACAGCTTTCTTCATCTTTGACCTCGCAGAAACAGCCAGTGTGTCTGCAGAAATGAAATCACAACTTTACACATTTGCATACAATGTAAGTCCTGGATTTGGGTTAGGGATGCTCCCTGCAGCTTCCATCTTAATTTTTTCCCCCCTCTTTTCTTTTAAATTTCTGGAATCCATGGAAAAAGGGTGTTTCCATACGGGCCCTGTAATCTGCATTCCTCTTGTTTATCCAAACTGGGAGCATAGCCGATTCAAAGAGATTTGTTCAGGGATTTTATCCATTCCTGCTTGCCCCCTCGGTCACAGAGGATGCCAAAAGCAAACCAGTCAACACTCTGCTTTTGCTATAATTATGTTGTCTGTGCTGGGCTCCAAACCCATGCCAAGAGATTGCTTGTCCTGAAGTCCCCTCTATGCACTTGTCCCCTCTGTCATTACACAGTTGTACATCTGAGCCAGCAAGTGTAAAATCCGACAGTCTTCTCGCTGCAAATTAATTCTGCTGCATTTCACACCAAAGAATAACACCCATAAGCTGGTGTAGGTATCTCTGGAAATGCTGGACTGCCTGAGATGCCAACAGATGCACGAAGTGATCAATGTGTGTCAGCAGAGAGGAGCAGTATTTCATACTCCAGCAGAGAATCAACAAATGGTTTCTTTAATTCTTGCCCATTTTGGTGTGATTTTTGCTATTCTGCAAAGTTCCCAGGCACATGCCTGCTGTTGAGTTTATGAATATTCCCACTCAAGTCAACAGACTGCTTAAGTCCTGTGGAAGACATCCTGATCTCCTGAAATATTGAGTAAATGTCTTGCAGGCGCAGCAGTTAAATCTCTTTTTTCCCCCAGCTTGGTGTAACACCTCTCTGGGGGAAGCACATAATGTACTGTGGGGTTATCACCATCATCTGTAATGTTTCTAAACAAACAGCTGCTGTTGGAAGGGAAACGTTTCAGCCCCCCTTGGATTTCTGATTCATGCTGCTGAATGGCAAACACAGAGCAAATTACAGAAATACTCCAGCTCTGGACTTGGACATCTAAATAGCATCTGTTTCTTTCCAGGCAGTTTTGAAGCGTTAAAAGCTGTTGCTCCCACTTCGATCAATTAATTTGCTGCCCCCACCTTCTTCTTTTTTTTCTTTCTTTTTTTTTTTTTTTCCATTCCTTTAACAGTCATACAAAGAAATTGTCAGTTCCCATCCCCATCACCCAGTGAACTGGCACAAAAACTACGCCATAGCCTGCGAGAGGATGCTGCGCCTCGGCCGGGGGGACGTGGACCCCGAAACGCTGCTCGCCCAAACTGTGAAACATTTCCTGCTCTACACCGAGAAGGCAGAGGATGATCCCCAGCGCCAGGACATCCTGCAGGCTGTGCAGCACCTCAGGGAGGAGCTGCAGGGGCTGAGGAGGAGGAGGAAAGCGGAGCTGAGGCGCAAAGCTGGGTAGCACCTGGTCCTGGTGAAATGCTCGAGTCGGGACTTAAAATCTGAATTAGTCCTTGGCAGCGTGAGAGTGGTTTTAAAAGGTGACAGGAATGGCAGCAGAGAGGAAATCAAGTGTGATCCCCTCTGCAAGAACATAGTGATGTTTGATTTCTGTTGCCAAATGAACTTCTTTGAGGGTAGGAGAGAAGCTCAACACTAAATATCGGGTTTCAAAAAGGACGATTTTCTTTTACAAGAAAACTATGAGCTTATACTGTGAATAATTTTTTTTAATGAATGCATCATCCATTCTAGATGTAAAAATGTATTTAGCATTTTATTGTCTCCTCTGTTGCTGAGCCAAGAGGTTTCCTAAAGCCATTTTTCATTAGCTGTGCTGTGTCTGTGTTTTTGTGGTGGGTTTCCTGCAGGACAAGCTGTGGGATGACACCCTCCAGGAGAATTCATTGGTCATTCACTGTTTTGGATGTGCTCTGAGCCCTGGCTGTGCCCATGCCCAAGGGCACTGCAGATTCATTATCACAAAATCTCAGAATGGTTTGGGTTGGAAGTGACCTTAAAGATCATCTCATTCTACCCCCTGTCATGGGCAGGGACACCTTCCACTATCCCAGGTTGCTCCAAACTCTGTCCAGCCTGGCCTGGAACACTTCCAGGGATCCAGGGGCAGCCACAGCTTCTCTGGGCACCCTGTGCCAGGGCCTCCCCACCCTGACAGGGAAGAATTTCTTCCCAATATCCCATCTAACCCTGCCCTCCTTCACTTTGAATCCTTCTCCCTTTGTCCTGTCACTCCATGTCCATGTCAACAGTCCCTTTCCAGCTCTCTGTAACCCCTTTAGGTACTGGAGGGACAGGATGTCCTAGAATGGAGTGGATAGAGACCAACCCATTTTTTCTGCCTCCCTTGCATTTCATCAATGGCTGCTTTCATTCCCTTGGGATTTTATGATAGGATGGTCTTTATTGCTTAGAGTTCCAACAGTGAGCAAGAAATTAATGTATTTTCCCTCGCAGAGGGACTCTGCTGGCAGCAGTGTGACATCTCCTGCACTGGGGTGGAGGGACTGTGGTCCTGAGACCCCACATGGGACATAAGAGCAGCTCCCCTGGGATGCTGCTCCCCTGGGATGCTGCTCTCTCCATGGGTCATGGCATCCCTCCTGTGGCCTCTTTCTGTGCAAGCTCATCTGCTCTGCCACATCCTCGTGGCTCCTGGGGATGCCAGAACTGCAGTTTTGGAGATATCAGGGGCTTTAACCAAAAGAATTGGGTGTGAATCCAATCTGTTTTTTGATCTGCCCAAACAGCCAAGCAACTTCTGGGGTTAAGAACTCAGCTTCTTTTCAATAAAAAAGACATAAAATGTCGTGTTTTCCAGTATTTTGTCAGTTAACACTACTTCAAATGCTTAAAACAGACCCAAAACTCTGGTCGTGTTCCTGTACGGTTCTGTTCATCTAAAACTTCATAGATTATTCTGTGGTTTTGTGATATCTCAGCCCAGTGTTTTGCAGGAGATAAATTACTGCCAGGCCAGGATTTCTTCTGGACTGGTAAAATTATCAGAGAAGAAATAAGTGCTTCTGTAAAGATCACATTATCAAACAGCATCTCTGAAGCAGACTGGGATGGGGGCAGGAGCAAGGGGTGTTTCAGGTGTATGCTCTGCTGGTCTGGACTTTGAGGTGTGTGTAGGGACACGTGGCCACTATTCCTAATAGATCCTTTTAAAATGGACCATTTATCTCTTTCTCTCCAAGTGCTGATTTTTCCAACTTTCACTGAGTGCTTCCCATATAAAAATCAAGCTGCTGTCTAGGAATCTCTAACTCTAGTTGCAAAATAACATCCTTTACTTTTCACCCTCTCACTCTTGATTTATTTTTGTTTTATATGATTTCCATAGCAATTCCCTGTTAATTCCTATGAGCCATTCCTGTACGAACAGGATGAGAAATGAGCAATAGAAAAGATGGAAAACTGTAGCTTCTGGGTTGCAAAGCCACAAAGCAGAGGGGTGAGAGGGAAGAGGAGTAGTTCAGGGGTGTCATTTTAACTCTTTGTGTTGTAATTTACTACATTTCAGGTCGTCTGTGCCTCACTTAAATCTCTTCCTTCCTCTCAATCCGGGCAGAAGTGTTTGTGCAGAACGAGGGAATATCACACATTCCTCCGTGCAGCTTTCTCAGGGCAGGCTTTCTCCTGCCCTTCTCCAAACCAGTCCTCCAGCCCCGGCAGAAAAGCATTAGGAATCCAATTTTTGAATGCTTTTGTTACCTGCATTATTGCAAATCCATTCAAGCAAATATACTGAGCTGAGGGTTTTCTTTATCTTGATTAGATGCCCCTCCTTAGCCGCATAGTCTTGAAATAATTGGAAGCTTTTGTTGATCCCGCTATCTGCTCGGGAGAAAAGAGGGGCTGTGCTGAGTAAAGTATCATCCTATATTGTAATAAACAGTGGTGGTGGCTACAAAAAGAACTTTACCACTGGCAAAAGCCTTCCCAGGTGTGAAGAGCAGTGGGATGGTGATGCCTTTTTAGGGAGAAAATCAGAGCCGTGCCGATGACGCGCTCCGTGTCCTTATAAATCCCGTGCGTGCGAGACGCAGGTTATCTTCTACTGGGTGTTCAGCAGAAGATATGCCACAGAGGGGGAAGTATCCAGCACTGATGGAACTTCCAAATTTCCTCCCCCTGAATCTGTTCAAATGAGATTTGCTGGTGCTCGCAGACGGAGCCGCTGCGTGGATGTTGCTGAGCCTGTTGGCTAAAAGGCGGTGCGGAGGGATGCTGGCAGAGTTTAATTTTTATCAGCTCCTCTTAGGTGGCACCCTGAAGTTTATCAAACAAGCAAAGCTGATTTGCTCTTCGTTAGTCTCAGTTGCATGAATCGGTTGCCAAGTAAACAGGATTTTGCATTTTCCTAATTACTTTCATATTTGTGTTTTACCTCTATTTGTTCTCTTGCAAAACGGGTCCTAATAATTAGTCAGGCTCCTGCTGCCTAGACCTTAAAAAAAAAAAAAAAAAGGGGTGGGGGCAGAGGGGAAAAAAGACTTCTGAGGGTTTTTTTCTCCCTTATAAATTCATTTTTGTTACAAGCATCTTTTATACATATTACTAAAGAGAGCGCACTAAGAAATGCAAATAATAGTTCTTTATTTTATTATGACAGTTAATTAATAGCAACCTGTTTTAATGAATAAAGTCACTCAGAGTCCTTCAGCACTTCCTAAGTAGAGGCCAGAATCTGTAGGGATTCTTTTTTCCCCCCCATTGTATAGCTCCAAGACTCGGCGCACTATATAGGGGCTGTATAGAAATGCTCGCTAATGAAGAGGGAGGGTGAGGAACTTGTCTGCATTCAAAGATCACTGGTGAGTCATTCAGCGAGAAAAGGCCCCTTGCTAGGAATAGTCACAGTTCCGCGGCATTGTGCTAGCAAAAGGGTTTGATCAAAGGTCTCCTGCCGAGCTTGCATGGTTTCCTTTCATACGACGACCATAATTAAAACCACTAATTCTCTTTTAAAATGCTGCAGGATGCCATGTAGGCATCTGTCTGGAGTGTCCTTTGTGCTGTCGGGAGCTGTTAAGGACCAGCGCCGAGCGCTTTTCAGCGACATGCCAGTCAGGAAGGTGATTCGACATAAGGGTGCCTCTGAAGGCTTGACAAGGCCTTGACTACACAATTCCAGCTGAATTTGCCCCTTGTCAGCTGCCAGTAAATAAATCTCAAAGAAGGAGGAGGAGGGGGGGAAAAGCTGAAGTTTCATTACCTGATCCCCGGGGCTTTGTTGGTTTTGGCATGGCCCAGGGGGAAGCCCTCGCCCCTCGGGGCCTGGAGCTGGAGTTGGCCATTGGAGACCCCGGCGCCCGGCGTTTGAAGACCGTCAATACTTGTAACAGTTCAGCTGTTAGGAAGACAAATAAATGGAAGAGCCCATTAATCCCCTTTGGGTACTCGGTGCCTTTTGCCCTTTTATCACAGCCTTATTAGGTTCCTACTCATCTTGAACCAGGAGGGATGAATTGAAGTTGTTGAGCGCTAATTGGCAAAGACTTTTCATTGCGGGCCAAGAACTTTCACTGACTTGAAAGTAACTTCACCACGGGGAGGATCAGCAAATTTTTGCCTCGCTGTTAAAACAAAACCCCTGAAATCCCGTTGGGATTCGATGTGGTGTTTAAAAAAAATTAGAAAAATATTAAAAAAAAGAAGAGAGAACTGCTAAATTGTTGGGCTTGTCCTTCACGAGGATGTTGGCAAGTTGTGTTTGCTCTTTAAAAGAGAGTGATGGAGGCAGATGTTCATCAGTCGGAATTCACGTATCCTACAGGTGTGCATTACCCAAACCTACTCATGGGACAGGCTCCCCAAAAGCAGTGGGAGATGGTCTGTGAGGGGGCACCACTGTTCTGGACAGTTTGCAACCACTCCAGGGTCAAGCAGAGCAGTGCTGAGGTTTCATATACCAGGAGAATTCTGGCTGACCTAGAGTCATCTCTGGGTTTAGTGGTGGGATTTATAGATGGGAAGTATTTCAGTGTAGAGGCACTTGGATGTTCTCATGTGAATTGGTTTTTAATGTTGATTTTGGTTAAGTGCTGCATGAATTAGAAGGTATTTATTGATCTTTCTCCTCATGTTCCCCACACTGCGTATTTTAAATAAAGACAAAAACTTCTGCAAAGTTGTTAAAGCATATTGTACATGAGAAGTGAGAATGTCCTGGGCAACCTCAACCTGGAAGACATTGAGTCAGGGGTTTTAGAGCACAAAATCCCACTGATGTGTCCCCCAACCTCTGTGTTTGAAGGACACATGAGCCAAGGTGCCCACACTAAGGATGGCATCTCCCACTGGGATGCCAGTGCGTGTACCCTGCAAAACCCACACCATTTTACCAGGGGTTTCCAGGACAGGGAGCTTGGCATGGTGCTACCTGAGCAAACAGGCAGCTGAAGCTCTCCCATCAGGCTATGGGGAATGGAGACATCATTGTCAGAACCCTTGGAAAGGCTGTTTGGTTTGGACCTGCCTGATGGATTTGGAGCATTGCTCCTGCAGGGTGGCTGTGAGACAGTGCCCAGCTCCACGGCCACCAAGGGCCACACAGTAGTGGAGGGTGCTGGTGGCACCACATTGTCCCTTCCAAGGAACATTTGAGTGTTCTTGGTTGTTCTGGAGTTGTAGCACATTGGTGCTGGTCAGATAGAGCATCAGCTTGCTGAAATCTGGGGAAAAAACATGTGAGAGGAGCGTGGGTTTGGGTGGTTTTGGGGGTCTTTTCTGTCATGTTCTTTGATTTAGTAGTAAAGCCACTTAAAAAAAAAAAAAGACATCTGAAGAGCTCTTCTGCTCCT